AAAAAAAAAAAAAAAAAAAAAGTGTATCCATTCTTAAAAGGCTGTAGATTCCCTTTTCCTCTTTGAATCAAGAGTTAGGAAACAGCAAGTAGCTGAGAGACATAACATTCCTCTCTGTTCATCTGCCGGATTAAGGTACTTGGAAAGAAATACCCAAGGAAAAGTATATAAGGACAGTAATGATTGTGAGACTCCATAAAGAGGTCTCAGAAACTTTCTGGTCTATAGGTAAGGGTAATTTTAAATCATAAGCTCTTAACACCTTGAGGGTAGACTGCAGGGTAGTTGTAACAACCCTGGATTCCACATTCTCATTAGCTGAGAGCTCCCAGCAATTAATGTACAATCCAGCAACAATCAGTTCAAAGCAACCCTAGAGAAGCTTTCTCTAGTTATATTAGGCACTAGTACAAGATAATATTTTAGATCGAGAGTCAACCTTCCATTATTTTCCAGTGCCATTTGAGGTTAAACAAGTTTTGGGGAGCAGCTGAGTCCCCAGGGTTAGATTCTAAGGGCTTGTGACTCTCAGTCCTGTCTGCCAGTTTTGTAGCAGCTTGGAGTGGCAGTGGTCGATGGGTTATATTTGTTTGTCTGTGTTTAATAGTCTCCCATTGTTGATTGAAAAAGACTTATTACACTAGACTGATTTCACGCTGCCTAGAAGAGCGGGATTGAGGCTTGACACAGTTAGTTGCCTGTTTAACTCTTTTCCATTATCTCTAGAGTGCCATAACAAAATCTTGCTTTAGAGCAGGGGTCAACCAATTGATCCAGCCTGCTTCCTGTTTTTGTATAGCCTGCAAGCTAAGAATGATTCTTCCGTTTTTAAGTGGTTAAAAAAAAAAAATCAAAAGAAGAATAGTATTTCATGACATGTAAAAATTATATGAAATTCAAATGTCAGCATCCATAAAAAGTTCTATTGGAACAGAGCCACATACATTTTGCTTACGAATTTTCTTTGGTTGCTTTTTCTCACTGCAACAGAAGAGTTCAATAGTTGTGAAATTGTATGGGCCACAGAGCCTAAAATATTTATTACTTCTTCTTCCTGAAAAAGTTTGCCTACCCTAGCTTTGGAGCATTAAATGGTTCTGTAATGGTTTGAAAGAGTCAGGGCAACTCCTAAAAGTGCCAGAGTTATTCTCACAGAAAATGACAGGCAGAACATCTGACTTTAGCTTTATTAATTTGGGGGAAGTGACTAAGGAATAAAACTTGAAATATGATAGAAGGGAAGGAATAGGACAGCCTTCTATTTATCTTTAGGCCCAGAAATAATAACAGCCTTTTGATAGATAAAGATACACAATGTTTTATTTCAGGGTATATTCATGTTACTACTAAACTCCATTTCCTCTATTATTATCAGCTTTGTGTTTAAACTTAACATAATTTAAACAAAGTAACTTTGTTATCATTTCCATATCTGACGTGTAGGACATCAAGTGAGATAGGTCTCAAACACTCGGAAATAACCTGTCTCTCGTATCATGTACACGGCATCGCGCACACTTACCCATCAGTCTACCAGAGCACACACAATTGAAAACCACAAATCACCCAAACACCTCATTTGTCAGTTCCATCCCCCTCTTAGACTTTCACTCAAGCTATCAATAAAAAGCCACACTTTTCAGCATCCTCTCTTGTTGCTGTTCTGTCTGATGGAGAAATACTTACGAGAATAAAACGGCCAAAAGGTGGCAGCAGGAGGGAGGAGGAGCAGAGGCAAGAGGAGAAACAAAGAGCCCTCGGTCCACAGCCGGAGTTGGCTGAACTTCCATCAAGAAAAAATCTTTCTCTCCAGGTCTTCTTCCCATAACCAAATAAGAATTTCAAAGCAGTTGCCAAAAACCATGTGAATTGGCTTTGCCTGAAGCATCATGCTGAGTGCCATGGATTACAACCTTAATTTAGAGTGGCTTTTATGACTTATTTTTGAAGGTATCATTTTAAGATCAGTCAGAAGCACAATAAATGTTTAACTTTCTCTGATACTTCCTGGCTAAAGACCAGAACATTTTTGATTGATTATTAGTTTTGAGATTTAATTTTTTTTGCATGACTAGATTAACCAATAGCTATGCTATTAAAAAAAAAAAAA